CTTTAGTTGCTCATAGTTCGCCTCGTTCTCGCGCACCTTCTGCTCCTATTGGTACTCCGCTTTGATCATCTGAGATCACGCCTCGCATGATCCCTCTCGAGGATCGCTTGATCTCTTTCCAGGTTTCCCTGGTCCCTCTCGAGTTGCGCACCATCCCTGTCAAGATTCGCTTTGTCTCGTTTCCTCTGGGCCCTTTCTTGTTCCCTCTTCAAGTTACTGAGTCTGTCTGCTGAGACCGTATCATAGACAATGGCCTGCTCGTGGATTGGGCTGCGAACCCCGCCGGCGGTCTGGTGGGAAGTGATAACTCTCCCGCACCATATTCCGTGTTATTATTCAAGCTGGAATTTCTTGCCAAGTCGAATCCCCTCACGCCTCCATCCACGTTCCAGGATAACCATCTGGTCTGCTCTTGATTAGATATTCATTCCGAGATGTAGCCAACAATCAACACAGCTTCTGTCGCTGATTCCCTACCTTCACCCTGTGCCTCTAATTGTAGGATGGCGTTCAACATCACCGCCAACCTCTCATTGACTTGGGTATAGTCGAGATCCCTCAAGCGCTTATATAGTTCGTCGAATGTAGGCCTTTTCAGCGCTGCGGGCATAGACTTCCAGAAGGGATCCCCCATCGTCACTATCTTCAGATGATCTCACGTGTCAACCAACTTGAGAAACACCTTACCAGTTAGACTTGAGAAATACCTTACCAGTTAGACTTGAGAAATACCGTTCCAGTTAAACTTGAGAAATACCTTCTCCCACTTGATGCTTGAGAAATGTTTCCCTCTGACACTGCTGATAGAGAACTTGATCAAGATCTTCTTTCTCTCTTCGAATGAGTGTGGCTTGGTCGTCAATTCAATTTTGCAAATCAATCTGAAAATAAATTTTTTAGACCGAGATGTTCTGTGGCTAACCAAAGCCCCCACACATTATTGTGTTTTTGAAACATTATCCCACCAATTATTTTGCTAAAAGATTTCAATTAGTGATTTTAAGAGCATGCAGATTCATTTAACTTTTTAGCACCATTAACTCTCTAAGATTTAATTGTCATGGCAATTACATTAAAATCCGTCTACCTGCTTCGCGTCCCCTCGTACCTAACTCGCGTCCCCCTTTAACCCAACTCGAAACCTCCATGTTCGCCCGAAACTCAGGCGATCCTCAAGTAGTACTTCTTGCGTAGGTGTACCGTTACCTCCTTTTCTGCAAAGACTACGTGTACAATTCCCTAGGGCTCAACTTGCCCCTGTTTGGGTCATAGAGCGGCATCGAGACCTTTATTATCCCTCTTTCGACCTTGAAGTCCCTTAGCCTCGTTAGTGCCAACATCACGTGTTCGGGGTTTATCGTGTTTCTCTCATTGACCCTTGTTACCAAAAAGCACAGGTATTTGCCCGGAACTTGTGAAACTGAGGGAGGAAGCGCAGCCATAACTCCCAATCCCGGTCTCTGCCTAAATAGAAACTCCCCGTTCTGATATTCTCTCTTGAAGTCGGCCACTAGTCTCGATTTGAAGCTCTTGTCTGCCGTTATACAGATCGCGCTTGTCCTGTCTGACAAGATGAAGTCGCTGTCCGTGATCAGGATTTTCTCTGAATATTCATTGGGTATTTCAAATTTTGTCTTGAAATTCGCCCTATGGTAGGCTCAGCCTCCTCTTGATCCAATTCCAACCCGTTGGTCTCTCTCACTTCCCTGAGCTTCTTTATCATCAAATGTTTGGTGTGGGTAAGTCCTACCCGCACTCCCCGGACAAAAATATTTATCGACGTCCCCGTCGATGATGCTGAGTCTAAATTGTCTTGTGGTATCTCAAGTGGGCGGTCGGTTGCTGTCCCACCGAAGAATGGGTCTTTCGTTTTCACTTGATTTTCCGCCGACACGTCGACCTGCTGGATACTTTGCGCTTCATCTTCCTTGTTCTTGAGGTCACGCATCCATTCCAGTATCTTCAAGTTTGTGTTTTCCCTCCTTTCTATCTCGTTCTGCTCCAGATCTGTTTATCGTTCTGGTATCGAGTAACCCACATGCAAGTAGTGTTCGCTGTCGTTGATGATTTGCCATTCATCATCGGCTAGCAGCTCGCCCACACTCACTAACTCTTCGTCTATCTCATCAGGTTGTATTTTGTCAATCAAGAAGTCATCCCCATACGTGTTGTATCTCATGCCTGTCCGCCTGCGATTTCTATTCCTTGTTTCTGCTGTCCTAGGCAAGTCTGGTTCCGTCCACTTTGGCACCTCGTCCTGCTCTGGATCATTCCAATCTTCCTCCGCATAGGATCCAGCGTCTGAGTCTGCATCTATCTTCTCAATATCATCCATGCTCACGTCCTCGTTGCCATCAATCTTTTCTCTGGTGCCCTTTTCGTTCACTTCGCATGCCGGCTCTACCAATAGGTACTCGAGTCGTTCCATATTCTGCGGTACGCACCAGTCTTCCGGACATGGGACATGAGGTTTCAGATTTTCATAGTGCGCTGCACGCCCTGTACTCAAGCGGCAGAACCGTCCCTGCTGATGTACCTCCATTATCATGAACGGTTCTCCCCATTTCTTTTGTAGTTATTTTGTCCCCTTCGGAGGTATGGCATTCTGGAACACCCAGACATATTGTCTCACTGCATACGGTTTCGCCTTTAGTATTTTCTCATCATACTTCTTCCGCTGCCTCATTTGTGCTCGCGCCGTGTTCCTCCTGCAGAGTTCGTTTAGCTCCTGTTGTCTCTTGACCGCTTCTTTCACATAAGCTTGAGGCGAGGTCTTTTTCCGATCGTATTCTGGATAAAAGATTGTTAGGGATATCGCTCTCTCCCTGCCCGTCAACATCATGAAGGGGCTGATTCCTGTTGTCGAGTGTTGCGTGCTGATGTACGCCCCTGCCACTTGCGGCAGATACTTATCCCAGTCTGTCATGTATCTCGAGCAATACACCCTGAGCATGTTCACCAGCGTTCTGTTTTGTCTCTCAACTAGTCCGTTAGTCTGAGGATGGTGAGTAGTTGAGTGTGCTTGAGCAATGTGCGATCTCCTCATCAACTCTTTTGTTAGGTCCCCACGAAGGCTTTCCCGTTGTCCGACTGGAATGTCATCGGACAACCATATCGTGATATCCAATGTGTTATCAAATGGTCACAAGTGTCCTCCGCTGAGGCTGTTTGACATGGCACCAATTCTGCCAACTTCGTAAAGTGGTCTATTATGACCAGTAATTGATTATATCCCGAGTCTGTCATGCAGATCGTCTGATGGTCTATCTGCACGACTTCGTTAAACTCCGAGCTCTCTACGGACTTGAGCGGGAACTTCATTTTCCTTGGATCTTTCACTTGTAAACACGCCAGGCATGCGTTCACCCATCTCTCGCTAGCTTTTCTTAACCCAGTCAAACCTGTGTAGTATTTTTTGTTGTACCTTGTCTATCCCCTGATGTCCCATTTGGTCGTGCGATCTGAATAACACTTCCGTCTGGTAAAATTGTGGTAGTCTGATGAAGTATCTTCTCCTCATCTTTTCTTCTACAGGCTACCACACCATCAGCTGTGTGATAGAGCTAATCCTTTCTCTCCTTGTAGAACTGGCTCAAGATCTTGTAATTGTCTTCCTCCAGATCCCCTTTCTCTTTGACTCCTGTCCGGATCCATTTGGAGAGGTTGCCCGTCATCTTGTCATTCCCCTGGACTCGTATCAGGTCTGACAGTCTGTATCTCGCCTTGATGTTTTCCTTCAATGCCATCCTCTGACCATTCATTTCTCCGGGATTGTAGATGTCGTCATTCAGCTTGACGTAAACTATTCTCCTCAAGACCTTCCTGTCATCATCTGGCACTAGGCTTGTTCTGACATTTGAGTTGCACGATAGCTTCCAGAACGGTTTCCTTGATACTGCAATTTCCTGAAGTTCTTCACCTCCGCACACCTCCTGCTGATCCAAATTGTACGTTCCTGAGGAAGGGTCAGTTTGTAGTTCCCTGTCGCGGTGCCTCATTTTCTCTTCTGCCAATATCATGCATAGACTAACTTGGTCATTGCTGCTCTTCTCTGTGTCTTCATCCCAATCATTGGACTCCCTTGAAAATTTCTCTTTTTCAGCATCTTCTTATGATATGGGCAACTCCCCGGACTCTTGACCCAATCCAAGATGTTCGGCCTCCTCCCTAAATGTTACTTTCTTCTTAAGAACCATAGTCCGCCTTAGCATATCTTCCGGGATTTTCTCAACTAGTGACTGCACGAAATCCTTGTCATCGAGTTGTTTTTCTTTCAACGAGTCCTCGCCATACGTTGCTTCATCTCTTCTAAGTATTGAGACTTCTGGTTCGTCTTTATCATTGTTCCGGACAACGGGTCTATCGTCTGCTAGATTCTCAAGTAATCCCCTCAAGTCCTCACCCATCTTCGAACTTCCCGTCTCTACCTGGTTGAGATCTTCGCCTTTTGCCTCTAGTGTTTCCCTCACTATTTTTGACTTGAGTATTACTTCCATTGGCATCCCTCTGTTTTTCCTCAAAATTGTTCTCTCTGGACGGTCCTCTGGTAATTCGTGATGATCCTCTATTGGTTTGACTTGTCGAGCTACCTCATGAGTGGAAGGATGTCGTACGTTTCTTTGTCCATAAAAGAGAAGCCTTCTTTGATTTCTGGCTTGTCCGCCTCTCTGTTTTCCTGTCTTTCGTAGAATTCCGTCTTCTTACTCAAGCTATCGGCATTTTAATGTTTGTCCCTTGTTCTGTGCTCAATGATCATATTGTAGCCATCCAAGCAAACTATCCATCTCCCAATGTAGCTCTGATCCATTGAGTACGTTTTCAACCAGCTGAGTGCTCTATTGTCGACCCGTAACTTGAATGGTTCGCTACCTAGGTACGCTCTGTAATTCTCTACAAAGGTGACAACCGCAATTATTTCTGCCTTGGGTGCGCCGTACTTCACCTCTGTATATCAAGACTTTGCTCCCGTCTGCTATCGGTCTCAAGACTGTCTCTCCGTTTCATTCCTGCTCTTGATGGAGTATGCCCGAGATCGCTACCACCGACGCATCCGTATCCAGGACACACATCCCTTTCGCCGTTGGCATACATAGCACAGGTGCTTCACACAACTCCTTCTTTATCCTCTGGAATGACTCTTCTGCTGCGTCGTTCCACGTGAATTTCTTGCCTTTGTGCCTCATGAATTGTTGCATCGGGTGTACTTTATCCTCATAACCCTTAATGAATTCCCTGTAATAGTTCGCAAAACCCAAGAAGCTCATCAGTTGATGTTCCGTTTTCGGTGATTTCGAAGTTAGCACCGCTTCCACTGCGTCTGGGTCTGGTCTGATGCCATGTTTATCCACCATCCTCCCCAGGTATTTAATTGAGTCCTTGAATATCTCGAACTTCGATTACTTGCGTTTTAGTCCTGCTCTTTTCATGCAAGCGAACACCTCATCTAGCCGTACTCCACGTAGCACATCACCAGGTTACCATATTTCTTCGTTACACTTGTAAATTCGTGTGCCCTCAATCGTTGAAACGTAGCCGTGGAATTGCAAAGGCCATAGGGAAACTTTTTCCGTTTAAACAGCCCCAGCTCGCAGGCAAACCCTGTTTTGTCCCTGTCCTGTTTCCTTAGTGGAACCTGCTAAAAAGCCGATCCTAAATCAAGTGTTGTAAAAAATTTTGCATCCCCTAATTTTGAGAGGCTCTGATCACTCCTAGGTATGGGATAGGCATCCTTCACCGCGACGGAGTTCAGATATCGAAAGTCACAACAAAACCTTAGTTGGTCGCCTTTCTTCTTAGCCATGGTAACTCCACAGGTGATTTGGATGGTTCTATCATATCATACTCTAGTAAGATTTCTATTTCTTTTCTTCATGCATCCGATTTTTTAGGGGTCATACGCCTCGCCCCCTCCCTATGTGGTACCGCCGACTCCTCAAGCTCTCTTTCATGCTCAACGAAGTTGCAACATCCAATGTCTGCCTTATGATTCGAAAAAACGTCCTCGTTTCGATCTAAAACGTCCTTGATGGCTTCAAGCTGTTCGTCCGTCACCTTAACCCTCAAGTGCTCTATCTCTGGTAAAACCGGTTTATCCGCTTCTAATTCCTCTAGTGTTGGTCTTTCCGGAAAATTCGAACGGCTCAAAAGTCCATCGTCTGTTTCTGACTTAAGAGATTTCACAAGACCTGATGAATGTTTTATTTTCTTCAACCTTCTCAAGATACAAATTTTATCCCTATGATTGGGGCAATCAAGAACTTCAATTTCTTTTACGTTTTCAGTCATTTCATATCGAGTTTTCACAGGAAGAGCGTATGCCAATTTCCTTCCCCTCTAGATTGTGATAAGTATATCAATAGTATTTAACAATACACTGACGCAGAGGCCACTTTTGGTTATCGAGAAGGATCTTCCTAAAATAGCAGCACTTTGACTATTTGGATTTGGGACAATGCATAGTTGTTTACTGTCACATAGTTCATTATAAAATTTCATCCGCAGCCTTACTATTGCCGCTTCTTGTGCTTTCAGCCTTACCCTTCTACTCAAAAACACCGGTGCTTTATTCTCATTCGCCATTATCAAATTTAGCGGTTTAATTACGTACTTCCTTTCCGGGCTCCGAATCCTGAACATCGCATTGTTTAGAGCAATTGTTACATCGAAATTCTTGATGAAGTCTCTGCCTAAAATGAATTGGTCAGACTCATCTAGATTCTTCACCACGAGGAAGCTCATCCGCAAATTGCATTCCCCCAAGTTTAGGGCTAATATTGGTGTTCTGCCTAGTACCCGCAGCGCCCCTTTGTTTGCTGCCGACAGCCGTATTCTCGAGTCTATCAAGTCGTCTTTGTCGAAGCCCATCCTCTTCTGTGTTTCGATTGGTTTAACGCGCAAGACCGCTCCTGCGTCCAATAACCCACGCAGTTGCGTCCTCTTTCCGCTTATGTCTAGTACGTGCCCAGATACGTCTGCTTCCGTTTCGATATGCATCGCGTCTTCTTCTGTCATGGCACAGTGTCAATCGATCTCACTTTTAGTTCTTCTCTACCCACGTAGAATTGTCCGGCTAGGTCTTCATCACATGTTATCATTGTCTTCGTGTAGATGTTTATTCCATCTATGTTTAGCGTTACCACGTGTGGACATATGCTTCCGTGCACCTATTGTCGACGCGAACTGATTTGCTGCTACCTCTTGTGAGTAGTGCCCTTACGGCTCTAGAAGTTGTTTGTCGGCTTACTGCACTCAAGTAATCTGCGTACACATCGACGTGCATTGTCGTCTGATCGCTAGGTTCACTCAGGTTTCTTGTTACTTTGTGACCACCCACTGTGATTATCGACAATATTCTCGCTCCAATTTTCGTTATGCCAAATGGTTTTCCCGTCACCAGTTTCAGAGTGTTGCAATTACCACCGTTTGTTGCACTTTCTGTGGCTTCCAGCACCGGGATTGTTCTGCAGAGTGTCTCATTCAATTTCTGCTTCTTTATCTACTGCCTCAGTCGTTGCTCGATTTCTTTTGTGGCCAAGTCTTGCTTCACTTTGTTGATTGCTTCTGCTTCAGCTTTCTCGTAGTTTATCTCTAAGGAATTCCCAGCCTCGGCCTCCATGGCAGTCTTGACTTGCGTTACCGCTCTCACCGTCTTTGCTGTTAATTCCCCACTCGCTGCCTCCGTGTTCTTCAAATCGATTTCGGCTTGTCTGTTCCTCGTATTCTGTACCGCAGCCAGTGCTAATTTGTGTTTAGGATAATTTTTATTCTTTACAGCGTCCCAAAATAACGGACAATCCATTCTGAAATAGCCCTCTTGATTACAGAAGAAGCACCTTGCGCCTATTTGGATGATTAAGTCACTATAAAACTATTGTTCCTCCGTCTGGCTCATGTCTTCTTCATCCGGAGCGTATCCCAGACTTTTCATGCCCTGATTGAATGTCGTGCAATCCGCTACGTGATGATCTGTTGATCCGCAACTTGCGCATGGCGTACGTTTATCCATATCATCTCTCGGCTTGTACCATGACGACCTTTGTAGTTGGCTTCCCCCTTGCATATTCCTGCCTTCTGAGTACGAGTACTTCTTTGATTTCATCAACATGTACTCCCTAGATTTTTGTCTCATCTCCTCCGGGATTGGTGCATTATCTTTTGAAAGTGTATAATACGTCGCCAACATTGTTCTCAAGTCGTCACTTTTTACCCCGTCGATAATTTTTCTGAACGCTGAAGTTTCTTCTGTTTGTCGATTCTTCCGGATCACTCCTTCTTCTCAGGCTCTCAAGATCATCCAGGAACCGATCGACTGACTCGTCGTCCCTCTGTCTTCTTTTTTCAAACCTCATCATAGCTTGGTGGTCCTTCATTCCTGGACCGAATCGTTTCAACAGTGTTTCGAAGATATTGTCTGCCGTATCAAGTTCCTCTTCCTTCTTTGCTACTACGCATTTCAACGCTGTGCCCTCTAGATTGCTTAGTATTGCTGTGCAGGCCTGCCTTTCGTCATTCAAGATGTCCTGTTCTAAGTGTAGTCTCATGACTTCTACCCATGTGTCAATGCAGCCATCCGAGTCGTCTTTGAACTCTTTGGGTTTCTTGAAGGTGTTCCTGGATTTACCAGTTCCTCTTTCACTCGAGTCAGTGTTCCTTGTCGCGAACGCTTCCAGTGTCCTGTTCATCATCTCCCAGGTGCTTTCCCATGTCATGGCGTCAGGTGCTACAGTAGTGTTTGTACTTGAGTCCTCTCGTGCATTCGTAGTGTTTGAGGTTCCACCCTTCATGATGGCCTTGGACCCCTTTCCCCTGTGCTCGTTGTAATCCGGGGTAACGGTGTAATCCGGGGTAACGGTAACTCCCGTTTATTCCGTTGCGGTTCTACGAAGTCAACTCTGGTGCCTTGCGGTCTATCTGCTACCCGCTTGTCTTGTGCTGTTGAGCTTCTCAAGAGAGTATCCAGTTTGGACTGTATGGCACAAGAATTTTCTGCTTGGTCTCTGCTCATTGTGTCCATTCTCGTCTCTAGATTCCACAAGTTTTCGTTCACAGTGTCGTACCGTTGCTTCGTTTCCTCGATGTCCTTTTTGATATTATGTTTCTCTCGCTCTTTGTAAGTGGCCTCTACCTTGTCTGACATCTGTTTTAGCTTTTCTTCAGTCGCCCTTGCCATGTTGAAGCAATTGTTCAGGTTCTCGTTCTTGTTGTATCGTATTTCCTTTTTTAGCCATTGTCGATCCTCTTCGCTGCACTTCAATTTTTTGTCGATATGCTCCAACTTCGCCATCTAGTCGCCCAGCTCAAGAGAAGTTGTTTGTTTTTCATGGTTAGCTGTTGCCCCACATTTGATCTTCTCATTGTCTTGTTTGGCCTCTGTTGTTTTTGCAGAAACTGTTCCAAATGTTTTGCTTTTCTCGGTCGTTGGTACCACCTCCTCCTTCTCTCTTGGTTTCATTCCGACCATTGCTGCAACCTTCTCTGTGAACGACGTTCTTTTTGTTTGAGAATCATCTTTTATCGTTTCCGGCGTGCTGCTTGTTGTGTACTCTACAGTATCAATTGGTGAAAACTCTATGGACTTCTTCTTTTGTTCTTCCGCATTCGGCATTGGTGTTGATTCCGTTGTTTTCCTTTCCACCTCGTCAACACTCTGATCTGGTGTCTCAAGATCAATTTCTATAGCAGGTACGGTTGGTCCTTCCAAGCGCTTTCTTTCGTCTTGTGTTCCTTTGCGCTTCTTGTGTTGACCATATTTACTGAAAAGTCCGTTCTCATTACTTTCGGAACTGATAGTGTTGCTTTCCGTTGCGATGAATTATGATTTTTCTTTGATTCTTGAACTCTTTTATCTGCTATCGGTACCCTACTTCGCCTCATGATTTTTATTTACAATTTTCTTTATTTACAATTTAAATTTTTACAAGTTTCTATTTCAAAATTTTAAGTAAAATCAAAAAATATTTTCTTATTCTATTAAGAACAAAAATCATTCGAGTCGTAATCTTAATAGTGTGGTCTTTTGGCTGTTTTTGATCATTCTGACTGGTTCCTGGTCCTTTTACTCAAGTGTTGGGACACTTCACACTATCCCAAGACATTTCGTCCTTGTGTTGGGACGCTTCGCACCGTCCCAGGACCTCTCTGTTCTAGTGTTGGGACACTTCGCACTGTCCCAAGACCTAGTGTTGGGACACTTAGTACCGTCCCAAGAACTCTCACTCAAGTGTTGGGACACTTCGCACTGTCCCATGACCTCCACTCAAGTTTTGGGACACTTCACACTGTCCCAAGACTACCTGCTCAAGTGTTGGGACACTTCGTGCTGTCCCAAGATCCCTTGCTCAAGAGTTGGGAC